TAATTTCTTCTTGTTGTTTCTTCTTTGTGCGTGGACTACTTAATAAATCACAACTAACAGGAACCAGCTCTTTCTATCAGGGTTCTAGCATTTATATATCCTCTGAAAAGTCTCCAGAATTCCAAATGTCACACACTCTCAGAAACCAACAGCAGCTGGCAACATCAAGTCCCTGCTAGAGCTCAAGGCAAATCAGTTACCTACTGTGAAGTCATTCCATGTCCTCACACCTGGGATTAAAACTGAAAACATATTCCCGTAATATTTCTTTTATTTGTTTGCTTGTTTGTTTGTTTTTTTTTCGAGATAGGGTTTCTCTGTGTAGTTCTGGCTGTCCTGGAACCCACTCTGTAGACCAGGCTGGCCTCGAACTCAGAAATCCGCCTGTCTCTGCCTCTCAAGTGCTGGGATTAAAGGCGTGCGCCACCACCGCCCGGCATTCCCATAATATTTCTGTGTGAGAAACCAAAATTCTTACTACATCTACATACATGCACACACCTGTGCCATCATACACACCTAAAACAAGCAAATAATGACAATAATAGAACATGAAAGTCAGTTTTGCAAGAATAGAACCCAATCTGCCAGATGTAGTGGCTCATGCCTATAATCCCCAGAAATCAAGAGGCTGAGGCAGAATACCAGGCCAGATGGCACCACCTGTTTCAAAGAGATGAAACAAAACCATACCAGAAATAGAAAAACAAAGCAGCTAGGTCTGCTGTCACAGGTCTGTAATATCAGCCCTGAAAGTGAGAGGTAAGGGGACCAGGAATTCTAAGCTAGCCTAGACTACATGAAACCCTGTCTCAGAACAAAATGAAGGAAACAAAAGCACCAGTAGAGTAGTCTCAGGAGTGGATTCCCTGAAGGAAAAAAAAAAAACACATACTAATAATCTGTATAAGTCTGACTCTTCTGCTAAAGTGAGCTCCTTCAAAAAAAAAAAAAAAAACAAATCAAACAAACTGACAACCATCCCTGCCTCCCGCCAGAAGAATCAGGGTGAGGCCAGTGAAATGGCTCAGTAGGTTAAAGGCACTTGCTACCAATGATGTAAACCGAACAACCTCAGGTAATCCCAGAACCCATGTAAAGGTGGAAGAGAATCAACTCCACAAAGCTGTCCTGTGATTGTACCACCCCAAAAAACCTAAGCCCTAAGCTAAAAATTAGAGCGTCTACTCAGTTCCTATTTCATGTTCACTATTAATGTTTAGAATAGAAAACACGCTGCCTACCAGCCCTTTTGTTAGTTCTCAATGATTACCACAAGTCTTAGGATGGGATTTGTTTTACAGATGAAAGCCAGAGTGCAAATGGTTAGCCACAAAGTCATCGGTTTTCAAAGCTGGCATTGTATTCAGACCCAATATTATCTCATTTTGAACTTTACACCATGTACTAGCTTTGGCTGGTCTGGCACTTACTATGAAAACCAGACTGGTCTCACCTAGTTCTACCTGCCTCTGCCCCCTGAGCTCTGGAATAAAAGACCTACACAGCAACACCCAGTCACCTTAAATTATTTTAACAAAAATATTTATTTATGTGTATAAGTGTTTTGCTTGCATGTATATATGTGCACCATGTGTGTGTCTAGTGTTCTTGGGAGCCAGAAGAGGGGCTCTGGCTCTCTGGTACTAGCATTACAGATGATTGTGAACTGCTGTGTGAAGTTTCTGGGCATCAAGCCTGGGTCTTCTGCAAGAGCAACACGTGCTCGAGACCATCAAGCCTTCACTCTAGAGCTAATAATAGATTAATTTGCATAACTTCTAGCACACCGTTGGTTTCTATAACTGGTAACATAGTCCTCTTACCTCCTGACTTTTGACTTTTTGCCAAGGCTAAACCAAAAACCACTGACATACTATCCCAGCTCCAATACTGACCACTTTAATAATCCTCTACATCTCCACCAGAGAAAAGTTGTGATCAGAGCAATTTCATTCCTTTTTCTTTCTCTTGAGATAAACACAGGGCATTAAGAATTTTGGTGAAGAAGGGTATGGTGGTACATGCCTGTAATCCTAGCACTCTGGAGGTAGGCAGAGACAAGCAGATCTCAAAGTTTGAGGTTTGTCTGGTCTACTGAGCAAGTTCCAGGACAGCCAGGGTTATACAGAGAAAAACCCTGTCTCAAAAACCAACCAACCAACCAAAAACAATGACCCACCATTGACCTACACTTTCAGTTCCACACCCTTTTAAAGCGCTTTTCTTTCAATTTGATTTTTGTCTTTTAACATTTAATTTATTTATTTATTTATTTATTTATTTATAATTTATTATGTATACATGTGGGCACATGTGTCATGATGCAAATGTGTAGATGTCAGAGGATATCCTGTGGGAGCCAGTTCTCTTCCATTAGGTAGTTTGCAGGGATCAACTTCAGGTCTTCGGAGTTGGCAGCAACTGCCTTTACCTGTTGTGTCATCTCCGTTCCCGTGCTTGCACTGTTTACTACCTGCTTCATGCTCTAGTCTCAAATCTCAGCATTCATGCTTGTTATGTCCTGACACTTAAAACAGTAAGGGAGACTTCAGTCAAGATTATAGGAGAAATGAAGAGGAGAGAAGCAGGAAAGCCAGCGTTATGGGTATTTACAAAATATAGTGGCGCAAGGTGGTATAGACCCATGTCAAAATGTGCTCTGAGAAATTATGCCATGCAACAGATCTGGTATAAAGGGGGTTCGCTGGGGGGAGGGGAGAGGAGTGGGGACCTGGGAACATGCGGGTGGAGAAACGGGAAAGAGAGAACAGTTGGGTGCTGCAGCAGGCGATGACTGATGACCTTAGCAATTGCTAGTTCCCTGAGGGCAGGCCAGCAGAATAGCCTGGAAGCTAAGAATGGAATTTGACAATGGGTCAAGTAAGCCTGTACTTGGCCTAGAAAGACATCAAGGACTAGAGGGATGTTGCAGGATATTTGATCACACTGTGTTGAAATTGTGTTGTTTATTGGAAAAATCTGTTCCGGTTTGTGGTGTGGCTCACCCTTATCATACACCTTTACTCCCTCCGGCTGGAAACAGACAAGTCCTTAGTACACACCTCTAATCCCAAACAACGACAGTAAAGTTAGTTTGTAGAGGGAAGTATCCATGATTGAAAGCAATGTCTGAGTGGCAGACAAAGTGACAAATTAGAGAAAGATCTGACAAAACAGGATATGCCCAACTGTCACAAGAAGAGAGAAGAAAGGGAAGCTATTTGAGGGGCAGTGCAGAGAGAGGAAGGAGGCAGTTTTACTGGGACAGTTGTACAGAGACAGGCTGCAGAGAGAGGAACAGGCTAGACACAAGAGAGAATGAGTCAGAAAATGAGAAGGAGCCAGAAGATTAAAACATATTGCCAAAGTTAGTATGAGGCCAAGCAGAGCTATTCAGTCAGAGGTCTAGAAGAGAAGCCAATTTAAATCAGTCAGCTTGGAGAAGAGTTTGAGCCAGAACAGAGTTACACCAGCCAACAGAGTTTAGAAAGAACTAGGAAGGGGTGAGCTTATTTATTCTGCAGTAAGTCTCAGAGGCTGAAAACATTTTAGGCCTAGATTAGATAGTACAGACACTGGAAGCTTCTAGGGCTAGGCCTAGGTTAGCAGGCAGAGGCAGTAAGCATCGGAGACAACAATCAGAGCAGAGAATAAAAGATACTTTTACAGGGGAATGCCTGGTAAACTGACTTGACAGGATTCTTACTGCAGGCAGATGGTGGTGATCAAATATCAAGGGGTTGGTGGTACAACGCTCGCTTATCTGGCTTGGTAGGATTCTTTCTGGCAAAAGCTGTTAAGGCAGGTCCAAGATAGGGCCAAAGATAAGATCTAGTTAAAAAGAGGGCTCAGCACAGTGTGTCTAACGTTTGGTAAAGAAGAATCATTTTTAGACATATAAAAAAGGAACATATGTTTATAGTGTTTAACTCCTGAAGGAACTGGCTATACAGAATATATAGTTACAGATGAGAAACATAAAACTAAAGGAGGAAATTAAGACAAACTTCTTTTTCCTCTCCAAATGATATTTACTAGACAGGACAGAATTTGAGTGCAGGTCACCTACCTATACTGAGTTGTAAAATAACTTTCATGAGAATAATTTTTTAAAGTAGGATATGCTGCAGAAAAATCTTTCAGGTTTCCCATTAGACATGACTATTTCTGGAAAGCCTGCCAGGATCGCAACATATATGAATGAGGTGTACTTTCTGGGTCATCATGAACACCGGTGTATTGTTTGTATGTAGCCCCTCCGCACCCCCTCCCCCGCAGGAGATGGTGCTCTGAGGCAGACATCACAAGTAATTGGTCTTATTGTTTCCTCAGCAATAAATATTTGTTTCTAAGAAACAGTAAGCTAGAAGCTGGAGGAAGCCACCGGATTAAGTACAGCATTGTAGCGTCCATTTTAGTCTAATATCTAGGAAGACATATTTACATCAGAGCCGATGCTGCCTTTTCCTCCACGTTATATGTTTGGCTGTTAGCTAACTTCCAATTCAAGGCCTGTGAGATACCATGGGGGACACAAAATGCATGTTACAGTAGCCTTAGGGAAGAACAACTTCTAAGTATCACTAGGCTACAGGGGACGCCATTAACACACTGGGGTAAGGGCTCAGCGGACCCCTGGGTGAGGTAGTCCGAAACATTTGAAAGTGTCTCACAGCTTTACTGAAAAACAAGGGCTTTGAGCTGCTATGTTTTTAAAACTGAGGTGAGCTATGGAACCCGGTTAGAAGACTGTAAAGTCGAGAGGAAGCACCGGGATCTGAGACTGCCTCACATGACCCACGTGCACCTCCAACTAAGGACTGGCAGGTTTTGGGGGAGGGGCTCTGCGCCTGACTCCGCCCGAGGCTCCGCCCCGTGACGTCAGGGCCCGCCCCGGCGCCCGCTTCCAAGATGGCGGCAGCGATACCTGCCCGGTTGTCCGGGTGGCGGTGACGACGGGAAGCAGACCAGGTATGGTGGGCTTAGGACCGTGGAGAGTCCTCGGAGAAACATTTGGGAGGTCGGAGGGAGAAGTTCTGAGTCAAGGCTAAAAAATCAGATTAACCACGGATAGCGTCTCGAGTGGAAATGTGGACGCGGGCCGGTTGCCTACACATTGCACTGTAGGGGCAAGCGCGAGAGACTGGGGTGGGATGGGCGTGTTCGAGGAGAGCGGGGTTCTAATCCCCTTCCCTCCGCGCGCAAAGCTCTGACCGACCACGCCCTTCCAGGTGAGCCGGCCCAGGAATGGTGGGCGGGCTGACCCTGCCCCAGCCCTTCCTCTCTGGTTCCTTCTCCTGGGACGCTCCTCCCCACCCCCCATTAGTGCTGGAGAAAGGTGGAAAGGGTAGAGGACGTCACCCCCACCTTTCTCCGTGCCGCGCTCCACAGCTGTTGCCTGCTGCTCCCAGGTGACCAGGCACCTTGCACCTACGGAGGCGCTCCCTGGTACTTACAGAACAGAAATAACCTGTTCCCTAATTTGCTGTGTTTTCTGGCCACTCCAAGGTCCCTTTACGTATGTATGTCTTGCCTCTCTAATAGTTGAGGGTTTTTGTTTGTTTGTTTGTTTTGCCTTCATTCATTTCCCTGTCCTCACTCCCAAACAAGCTCGTTTTGTTGGAGTATAGAGGGTTAGTTACAGACCTGACACTACTCCACTGCAGGGTAACCTGAGAACCTAGGATCTTTTCTTTTTCCAATCACTTTCCCTCACTGCCCATGATGGCACAGTTGTTTCTTTCCGAACTCTGTTGTACAGGTGACTGGTCATCCTTGATCATTTCTGGTTCCCGCTGGTCCCAGATTGGCTGTTGGAATGCTTTTTTTTTTCTGTCCTCTGTGACAGTTCCAATTTGAGATAATGCCTCATATCTCTGCTCCCCGGGCACCTCCTGGAGCCCCCATGATCCGGAAAAAGACAGCTTGAACACAGGTGCGTGTCTGTTTTTTCTCTTGTAAAGCCTGAACTTCTGAAATGGACTTGGAACTTGAATGGAATGAACTTGGAAGCTTTCTTGAGGGTGGAGACAGAGTAGCTGGTGGGAGTGGTTTGGGGGAAGTGGATGAAACTTGCTGGTAGCTGGTTAGCTTCTTTTTTATTGTTATTTATTTTTGATTGATCACACCAGTGTTCCTTTCTGTGACTTTGTTCTCTGCCTGTTTTTTCTTTCTTTCCCTGGCCTCGCTTTCATCTCTACCTCATGGTGTCTCTTCTGGCTTGCTCCCTTCCTTTTTGCTTCCAGAAATCCCTTCACTCCTTACCTAGCTCTCAAGTCAGGATGTTGCGGAGGCTGCTGGAGAGGCCCTGCACATTGGCCCTGCTTGTGGGCTCCCAACTGGCAGTTATGATGTATCTGTCACTAGGGGGCTTCCGAAGTCTTAGTGCCCTATTCGGTCGAGATCCGGGCCCAACCTTCGACTATTCTCATCCCCATGATGTCTATAGTAACCTCAGTCACCTGCCTGGAGCCCCTGGACCTGCAGGGGCTCCTCCAGCTCAGGCCCTGCCCTACTGTCCAGAAAGATCGCCTTTCTTAGGTGAGTACAAAGGAAAGAAGGTGAAGAAGAGAAAAAGGTTTGGGGGTAGAAGTCTTGGGCTGGCATGAATTGAGAGACTAATGGACTCTAAGATGGGCCAGTGTTGTGAATTTAGAAGTGGGCTCTTGGCTCACAAGCTTCCCACAGCCTGCCCATTTTATGGGCTCTTCATGCCCTAGGGTGGGAATTATTTCCCTTGTAGATGAGTCTTGGCTTAATTAGGTAGTTCTTTTTGGTCTTCTCCTATAGCTTCAGTGTGGGACAAGAGAAAGTTATATAGATTCCCTAAAATAAGAATGTAGTTAGTCCAAGGTAGAGCCTGCCTGCAAGGTTTAGGCTTCCAGGAACAGTCTTTGTGAAGGGAAATCCAAGGCTTGTTCGATTTTTTGAGTGAGCCATTGGGGAACTGAGCTCAGAATCAGACTGTTTTCTCCAAAGCTGTTCTCAGATTCTGATACCCATTTTGTCCATGTGCCTCAGATTTCTGAACTTGCCTTTTCCTACCAACAGTGGGTCCTGTATCAGTGTCCTTTAGCCCGGTGCCATCACTAGCAGAGATTGTGGAGCGGAATCCCCGGGTGGAATCAGGGGGCCGGTACCGTCCTGCAGGATGTGAGCCTCGCTCCCGAACAGCCATAATTGTGCCCCACCGTGCCCGGGAGCACCACCTTCGCCTGCTGCTCTATCACCTGCACCCTTTCCTGCAGCGCCAGCAGCTGGCCTACGGTATCTACGTCATCCACCAGGTATCCCCTTCCCCACCTCATTCCTCAATGTTAAAGGACCCCCAAAGGCCTCGTCTTTCATCTGATGGGTCTGTGAGGTAACTGTAAGGCGGTGGACAATAGATACTGGAGAAGCACCCCGCCTTTCTCGTCTTACGTTGATAGACCCATGCTTATTCTGTTAGGGTATTCCTACTTTCCTATATTTTTCTATGATTTTTTTTTTCTGTGTTGAGTGGCTTATGCAAATTTGGAATTGGTCAAGGATGAGCTAAAATACTTGTTCTTTAATAATTAAAAAAGATTATTAGGTTTATTTTGTGTGTGTGCGTTTTGCTTGCATATCTGTATGCGCATGACATGCATATTTGGTGCTCGAAGAGGTCAGAGAAAGACATCAGTTCCTGGAACTGGAGTTTCTGATGGTTGTGAACCACGGAAACTGCATGGGTGCTGGGAATTGAACCCGGGTCCTGACCTCTACAAGAACAACAGCTGTTTTTAACTGCTGAGCCATCTCTGCAGCCCCCAAGTTCCTGACATAAATTATCTTTGAGGAAGCTGTCCCTTTGACATGAGACAAAAGCAGAAGCCAATGAACAATTATCGCATATGATTGTTAGCAATCACAAAAAGAAATGTCAGGCACATACTGATATGTAAGAAAAGTTTTAATTAATGTGAATAACTAAATCAAAAAAGTGGGTTGGGGTTTGTTTTGTTTTCTGAAATTGGGTCTCATGTAGATAAGGATGGCCTTTAACTTCTGCTCCTCCTGTCTGTTCTGCCGCACTGCGGGGTGACAGGTACATGCCACCATACTTGGTTCTACATGCTGCTGATGGCTTAAGGAATGCTAGAAAACACTACCAAATGAGCCCCATCTCCAGCCCTTGTTTTGTTTTTAGTCTACTCAGAATCTTCCTGTCTCAGCCTCCTGAGTGCTAGAATTAGTCAGGTCCCACCATGCTCAGCGGCTGATCTTGGTCTTCCTTCCCTGGGCTCCATATCCCACTCAGATGCTCTTTTCACTTTGGCACTCATGCAGCCTGCTTTCCCTGTGCACAGCCCGCTCCCCCCTCCGTTATCTTTTAGGCTGGAAATGGAACGTTTAACAGGGCAAAGCTGCTGAACGTAGGGGTGAGGGAAGCCCTTCGCGATGAAGAATGGGACTGCTTGTTCTTACACGACGTGGACCTCCTTCCAGAAAATGACCATAACCTGTATGTGTGCGACCCCCGGGGACCCCGCCACGTTGCTGTTGCCATGAACAAGTTTGGATACAGGTAGAGAGCATGGAAGAGCATTAGAAAATAGGGAAGCCAACTTTGTAGTATGAAGCGAGCAAAGGGGATTGTGGGTAGGGACGACTGTTCAAACTTGTGAACCACACGGATCTCTTTGTCCTTAGCCTCCCGTACCCCCAGTACTTTGGTGGAGTTTCAGCGCTAACTCCTGACCAGTACCTGAAGATGAATGGCTTCCCCAACGAATACTGGGGCTGGGGTGGCGAGGATGACGACATTGCTACCAGGTCAGACTTCTTGCCACATCTCCTTCTCAAACCCTGACCACAGTTTTCAACACAAATCCTGACCTCCTGGTTCTGCACTGAGCCCAGGCTCTGCCCACTGCCGCCCGTTCTGGCAGATTGCAGTTCTCTAGGTAGATCTGGTTGATGATATTCTTGGGAAAGGGGGGAAGATTAATTGGAAATATGAAATATGGAATTCTAGATCTCAGGAAGGGGCCTAAAAGACAAGTTATTTCTTTGTTTTGCTAGGTTTCCATAGAAACTACTTCTGTGAGAGTGGGGGAGAAGGGTTTTGCTCCATATGGCCCCAAATCACCCTTGTTTGGTTTTGGTTGTGGGTTGGGGTTTTTTTTGTTTGTTTGTTTGTTTGTTTTTTATTTTTATTTTATGAGACAAGGTTTCTGTGTAGCCCTGGTTATCCTGAAACTCATTATGTAGACCAGGCTGGCCATGAACTCACAGAATCCACCTGCCTCTGCCTCCAGAGTACTGGGATTAAAGGCTTGCACCACCACTGCCCAACCCATCTTTTTGTTTTGTTTTTAGGGGCTGATTTGCATAATGCCAACTCATTTCTTGGCATGGGAAACATTTCTTACCTTTAGCCTCCAGTGACTGTTTTCATGTGTAGTGCATCTGAGCTTGATGCTGAATCCCTTGCTTCCTACCCGTGTGTCCCATGAAATGACATCTTTTATGCGAATTCTCATCTCCAAGTGTGTGTTTCACACTCCAAAAATCCTAGATTTTTTTCATCTCTTTGTCAAACCACCCTTACCTCTTGCTTCTGTGTTTCAGAATCCAGGCTTGTTTTAAGGTCCTGATCATCTACCTGCTTCTGTTCTGCTCTTTCTGACGTGGCAGTTGGGTAGTTCAGACACTATTTCTTAATAAGAATTGCTGGTCTAGGGGGGCAGCTTGGTGGTCAAGTGTGTTTAGCATATGTAAACTCCACTTTTAATGCCCAGTGGGTAAGAGACCAAGGTGGCTGAGTTTGGGTCTGACATTTCTGTACTTTAGACAAAAGGGCCTCCCTCTCTTCTCCATAGGCAGCTTCTAGGAGCCATTTAGAAAGCAGATGCAAGAATTACATATCTACCTTTGCCAGTTGTTGTAAGGCCCCAGGGCACCTGGCACCAGGCCCTGCAGACTTTGATACAGCCAACCTTACCTTCTTTCTGTTTGCTTTTGTCCCGCCTTGTCATGCTTGGCAGCATTTATTTATTTATTTATTTATTTATTTATTCATTCTTCCTTGCCAGACAGGTAAGGTCGTTCCTTGTGTGGCAGCCTGCACCATTGCTCTCTGTGTTCTGGCCCAGGCCACCGCTCCTTGTGTGCCTATGCCATAGTTCTCTACATGCCAGCCTATGCCACCACTCTCTGTGTCCGTGTCCCGGCCATCACACTCTGTGTGTCCTGGCCCAGACCACCAGTTTCTGTGTGACAGCCTATGCCATCATGCTCTATGCCCCAAGCCAGGCCATCCCTTCCTTAGTGAGTCTGCTTTTCTCATTCACCCAACACCAGCAGTTTTCCACCCAAGCTCCTCCAAGACTCTCTCGCTTTTCTAACAGGGTGCGCCTGGCTGGGATGAAGATCTCTCGGCCACCCACCTCTGTGGGACACTATAAGATGGTCAAGCACAGAGGGGATAAAGGAAATGAGGAAAATCCCCACAGGTAGGAAGGGAATTGCTGTTGGGTTCTTGGGTTTCTGATCTCTTTCAGACGCTCTTAAATGTCCCCACATTCTAGATTCGCCCTTTTAGATCTAAGCCTTAAAACTTCTCACCTCAGATTTGACCTCCTGGTCCGTACCCAGAATTCTTGGACACAAGATGGGATGAACTCACTGACGTACCGACTGCTGGCACGAGAGCTGGGTCCTCTCTATACCAACATCACTGCAGACATTGGGACTGACCCTCGGGGGCCCCGCTCTCCCTCTGGGCCCCGATACCCACCAGGTTCCTCCCAGGCCTTCCGTCAAGAGATGCTGCAACGCCGGCCCCCAGTTAGGCCTGGCCCTCCTCCTACTGCCAACCACACAGCTCCCCACGGCTCACACTGACGTTTCTTTGCCCACTGTAATCATGAAACTGAATTGGAGGGGTTGTGTTCCCCACACCCTCTGCTCACAGCTTTGGGAGGAATGTGAGGGAATTAACTCTAGTGCTGTGCTGGGGGGGCAGGGACCTCTCCTCACCTCTAGATTGGAGCTGGGCTCCTCTAGACCTGGAGGTTCCTCTTTCTAGGGGCTACCTGTCAGGGCTTATGACTGTGAATCTTTGATGTCATTTTATGTGACAAATCCTGGGAGTCCTCTGCCCCTGGGGTAGGAGCAGGGCTGGATCCCAAGTCCCTTCCTCGTCCATGGACATTACTCTTTTCCAAGAGTGACCTGGCTTCTCCTGGAACCTCTGTGAATATTTATTCTATTTATGGTTACTGAGAAGCTGTCTGGTGGAGGAAACCCCTAGCCGGGCATTTCCTGCAAGTGCTGGAATGGCTCCTCTAGTCTTGGCCTGGGTACAGGGGCTGGGATTTTGATATCTTTTCTAATAAAGGACTTTGTCTCACTTTTGCTTGTGATTTCTGTATCCCAGGCCACTTAATCCTCCCCCAGCACCCAACCGTGACAAGTGTATAGGGTGACAGAATAGTAAGACCAACCAAGCTCCACCAACTTTTACTTTTTGGAGTAGGAAAGTGGGGTCAGCTGTTAGATTCTGTGCCCAGGACAGCAGCTGCTGCCTGGCGCCCACTCTCTATACAGTCATTGACAGCGACCCCCTCATAGGAGGCTCCAGCCAAAGTCAGGGGCAACCTCTGGGCCGTCAGGAATCGCTTAGCTGAGTCTGAAAGGTAAGGATGAAAGGAATGTTATAGCTGAGGTCTGACCCCCTCAGCCCAGCTGCTTTCCCGGCTTACCTAGTTTTTGCCAGTGGCCTAGTGTATATTGAGGGATACAGTTCTAAGGAGAGAGAAGATGCAAGGGAAAGTTTATTAGTGATTTCCAAGGCCTTGGCTTGAAGGTCTTTCAAGGCTTTCAGTGGGGAATAAATAAGAATTTATGTCAACTCACCTTGTGTAGATGGACCAAGCAGCGGCTTGGTTGTTCCTTCAGTCCTAACTGTGTAGCAGCTGCTTTTTGTGCTTCTTGTTGGAGCAGCTCTGGAGACAACTGATGGCCATTGGCTTCTAGGTTCTGTAACCAGTAACCTCCCAACATCACCTACGAGGAGACACAGCACGGACCAGTCTGCTCTTGGCCTATACTGCAGCACAGAGAAGCGCTCTGGAAACCCCACCCTCTGCTCTTGCCTATGCTGCAACACAGAGAAGCCCGCTGGAAACCCCACCCTAAGCCACGCCTCCTCTCACAGTCACTCTGAGGCCTGGGGGGTTCCCATCCTGCTCAGGAAAAGCAACCGAGTCATACACAATCCCCAGAACAGTCGGATCTTCTGACGATGGCACCAAATGTCCAAATCCCTGGAACGGAAGATGTCTTCTGAGTCACAGGGAATGGCTCTCACTGAGCCCATGTCGCCACTCTTCTTCCTGTTATACCTGGACAGGCAGACAAGCTCCTCGGTACTGCAGGTTCACCACAGCGACAGACACAGCCTTGATGGTCCTCAGGACTCGAGCTAGAGGTGCAGCCTCAGCAGGGAGCAGCTTGCTGAGCTCTGAAGACCAGGCATTCATACTAGGCTAGCTCTGTCTGACCAGAGTTCCTTGGGAATGGCCAGCTCAGGAGCCTGGTGTGGTCCTGCTGGCATATGAAGGCACACTATTGCCCCCTGATGGCTAGGAAAAGGGAAGGGCTGTTCCATTACCTGAAGCTGGAATGGCGCTTATAATGTGATCAGCCTCCAGACTGCTGTCCCCTAGAGACACCTGAGTGATAAGAACATTTGAAAGATGGTGTTATTCGGACTTTATGGATAATGTGAGATTTGCTGTCTCAGTTTCCCAGGTACTCTAGAGGCAGGGAAGACTAGGTGCTGACCCAGGATGAAGAATATGAGTGACAAGATCATCTCAACAACAACCAAGAAACCCTCTGTATAATCCAGAAAGTGGGCAAGTGTAGATGCTCTGGAAAGTTCAGTGAAGGTGGGTGGTTCTTCCCTTGTCCCCAGACGCTCAAAAGCATTCCATTCACAGGATACCTAAGGGCATTCTGAGGAAGGTTCACAGACAAAGCCTAGCAGCCTGAGGTAGCCAGTATCCACATAGCTTCTCTCAGGCAAGAAAACACAAGTCCAGTGCTAAGTGGTTTAACCTGACCTAGTTAACCACTTTGACAAAGATAGTAACATAGTTTGTGTATATGTGCATGTGCGGGTGGGCACCTGTGCAGCTCAGGCCTTCTGCAGAGGCAGTGCGTGCTCTCAGTGCTGAGCTTTTTTTCTTCAGTTTTTCTCTTCCCAGATGAAGAAATGTATGGACAAAAAGTTATCATTGACTTTAAAAGGTGATAGACATATCCAAGGAACACTGCACGGCTTTGACGCCTTTATGAATCTTGACTGATACGTGTGTAGCAATGGCAACTCGTAGGCAACAGAATATTAGGCCATATGAGGAAATGGTGTCATCATGTTTTAAAGGTTTGAACCAAATTTAAAGAAATGGATGTTGCGCAGAGAAGTTGACATTCCTCCCCAGAGGGCCTATTTTGCTATGGTATAAAACTGAGTCATGCACATTTACATATGAAACTTTTGCAATACTCAATATAACAACAACAACAAAACTAGTAACACTGATACAGGTTCACTACACTCCAGAGGGTTCTCTTACTTTCCAGGTCCCTTCTGGCTGGAGGCTGAGCCCACAGACTGGCTGACCGCTGAGGACAGTGACTCCTTTACTTGTTAGGTAATTGTGAAGGGTCTGGGGCAATAACTCCAGCCCTCCACGAAGTGACCACTGGCTCCATCGCTCAGCCCGGGCTTGACGAATTAATGAGGAATCCGGCTGTGGACTCTGCCCTAAAAGGAGGGAGGGAAAAAGATTAAAATAGTACCCCTTGTACCTCAGTTTGTCGTCAGGCTTTATATTTTCACCCTCTGAACCAATGCTCCACCTCACCTGCCCCCAGCAGCAGCCCCAGTAATATGGACCGGTGGGTTTGTTCAGCTTGGAAGAGACTGGGAAAGCAGGACCGGATGCTGAGCTCACGGCTGCTGCCAGCAAACACTCCTCGGCAAAGACTGTCCATGGCTAAAGACGCCACCTTAAGGGTAAGACTGGGACTGAGGGCTCAAGGAATAAGCCATCCTGACTGAGTCCCATTGGCCCTACTTGTGAGGGAATAAGGACAGGATAGAGTCTGGGTTGGAGATGTTCCCACTGTAACAAAAGGATGAAGGAAAGGAAGCCATTTACTCCCAACAATAAGAGATTCCAGCAATAGATAAAGGACATCCTTAAATGATACAAGAGTCCCCGGGGTTAAGTGTGAGTTAGAGACTCAGCAGCAGAAGGGGAGAGGTTTGAGACCACCTCTGAGCAATGTCACCTCCGGTCCAAGGCGGCGCTGGGCAAAACTGTGCACTGTCTCATCAGGCTCTTTGCCCCTGGGCTTCGTCAACTCCTTCAGCCCAGCCCAAAACAGAGGTTTTGAGAAGGGGGGTGAAGGACGGAGTAGCCCCCTGCATGGAGGAAGGCATGGTGAAAAGAAAACTCCCAGATTCACCTTTCCAGCTCCGGGGGCTTATTCTCATCCATTTGACCCCCTGTGGCTGGGAAGCACGACAGGAAGGTGAATGTATGTACTGGTGAGATGAGGTATTACCTGAGGCCAGAGGGTAGGGGGTGCAGGGTACCGCCTACATACAGGAACCTGTTCCGGGCAGCTGGATGATCCCCTCGCACAGGCAAGACTTCGGACTCCAAGCCAAGTTCAGAAACCTGCTCTCCACAAGCCCTCAGGAAGAGGAGAAACTAAGGAAAAACTGACCCAACGTTTTTCCTTTCTGCAATTCTGTTCCTTTCAAGACGTCTCCTCCACTATCTGTCCTACACACAAGACGCTCACCAGGAGCAGGGTCCGGGCTCCTAGGGCTCCAGCCGGCCTAATTCCTCGCGGTCCAAGTTCAAAGATCGCACCATCTGATCCTCGGACTGAGCGGATCCAGCCTCCCAAACGTTTGCCGCCCTCCACTAAGATCACCTAGCGCCAAAAGTGAGACACTGTCAGCTCAGGGTAAAGGGACTGGGGATCGGGGGAAGTGCATATTTCACGGGACAAAAACCTATCCAGCTTTTGCTGGAAATGTTAAGAGTATTAAATGAGTCTTTCTCTGGTACTAGCGGAGACTCACCTTAGGAGGACTGGGCCCTCGGATCAGATGATAACTTGCGGCCAATCCGCTGATACCTCCGCCAAGCACCATCACAGTCCGGCCCATCGCAAGGCCTGGGGAACGGTCGAGATACCCCGGGAGACCGGGAGGCACCCTGGTTTACAACTGTAGAAAACCTCACTGGTCCCGTATCCCACCTCTGGACACTTACCGATTTAAGAGCAACTAATGCAAGGCGCGCGTGTTCGTGCTGGTGGAAGAGTGAGGTCTTGGTTCTGAGGCCAGGACTTACCCACGAGATAGGGGGAACCCGAGAAAGTGAGTGATATAGAGGCCCTAGGGCCAGGCCATCCAGTCGGTGTGCAGATAAGGGCCACACCCGCCCTATCTCCCCAGCTCAAGGCCTTGGCAGGCCACAATTCTGCAGCACTCAGTTTTCCCAGCCTCAGCTGGTGAACAGGTTCAAGTCTGGTATCCCCGCCCCTAACTTTTAGGGTCCCTCCGACTTTCCGTCGACTCCATTCTGGCGGCCGCGGCTGCGTTTCACATTCCTGCTTCTGGATTGGTGGGTCCTGGAATGCAGGTTCTGGATTGGTGAGCTCTGGATACATCCACCAATGAAAACACCATATTGGCAGTGACGCTACCAGCGGAGCAACAGCGGCTTTCGGAGTCAGTTCAGTGGAGCAGGTTAACCTGTTCATTTCCTAATCGGACTTAGTTGCAGTAACCAGCACTGCCTTCCCCAGGGACAGGGCAGCGAAAAGCTGAATTCGGGAGTAGCATTCCCCAGCTCAAGCTTCCCAGGTCTGTGGTGAGAACCCTGGAGGATGGGAGGGCCCCACGAGCTTTAGTTAGGGAGAAAGAGAGAGACTCTTGGAGGCCAGTCCGTGGGGAGAAGGCTCCATAAACAGCTCCTTGATGTTAACAACAGCCAGGGCCTACGGGAGCAAGGGCCGCCCGGCAACGAAACCACTGTTTGTCAACAGGGGTTCTTGGATGCCTTGCCCTCGAGGGACAGCCCCCACTCAGGCAAAACCGGCGTGCCAATGCCTGCACTTTAATTTCAGGCTTTCCCGCAACTTCACAGATTTCAAGGTTTGTTTGCCTAGTACTACTAATCACTGAATGTTTGGGTCCAAGCCTGAGGCCAGCGCAATCCCTGTTCTTTTCCTTCTGCTGTGAGAGCGCCCCCACCTGTCCAGAGAATTGCGGCCCAGAAAGGCTCCAACTGAACCAAAGTTCTAGATACCCATTTCC